CCAACACCAAGCACTTCTACTAGCAAAAAGGACTCACTGAGGTCTTTGTTAACATCATTTTTTTTTTGAAAAAAATAATAGTGAACTGTATAAAAATTGCACATGCATCAATAGACATATTCTGTGAATTCAATAACGCTAATTAGTTTTTATTTATAAATTTTTTTTGATGCAATTTTGCTTGGAAGCAGCCTCCGTGTGAGGGAGCTGCCAAAAGCCTTGCCAGTAGGCAATAGCTCTTGCCATTTGCTATAATCAGAATACATCCGTATACCTCGGACTTTCAGAGGAAGTGAATACAAAGCGGGGTGGTTTTGACTTTGAAATTTTGTTTGAACTAATCGTTTTTATTTTCTGCTGTTTTTTTTTTTTTTTCTTATTTTCCCTACCTTAATAAGAAAGTATATTAACAATGGATGGAATGAGAAATGAGAATTACAAAATTTGTAAATTAATAGATTTATTTTAAATTAATAGAGTTAAAACTACTGTAATTCTTTCCATTTGAGAGGAAGAGACAGTCGGAAGTAGACCGAATGTGCCAACAATAGCTATCAGCTGGCAACATCGTTGTTGGCCCCCTCTTTCGAAGGCTTCTTAGAAGTAAGCCGATTTAGGATTTGAGGATTTGACTTGCTGTCATATGCCACTACCAATTTACCACTGGGACGATTGAACGAATCGCTTGCTTCTAAGCAGTTCTCGATAGAGGGAACATTGCCAGGGGTACCTTTTGTTGATGCTTGCTACCAGCTCGGGCTCCTTTCCGAGTGCTTCCGCCTTTCATAAAGGTTAAATTTGGAGGGGTTTTGACGCTAACTGCGTTTGTTATATTACTAGCAACAGCAAATCACTAACAGTTCCCCAACTAACACTGCCCTATGTATGTTTATGCCTTTCTGTGCATATTATGCACCCCCAGACGGGCGATTATTGCTAGATGTAATTTATGCAGCTGCGCAGTATTGATAAAAATTCTAATAACCAAATGGATGAATATACAATAACAATCGGAAATCCGGAATTAATTGCCGAATTGTTTGAAGTTCACTAAGATTACCCAGGTTGTTAGTGTGGAGCTGTCGTCACTAAATTTGCTCAGTGTGAAGCATTCCTAACGTCGTTTTCCTGAATTTTTAACATGAATTTTTCGTAATATTTTGCTCCCGTGATTATTTTGGTCTCGCTGTAGGTGTTTCGTAATAATTTCTGAAGATGTTAAATTGTTTGCAGATCTCTTTCATTATATTCTCCATCGACTCCGGTACGATTTATCGGTCGCGTAGCTGAAGAGTGTGGTAAATTTTTTTAACACATTTCTTTTGTTTCATTTAGATTAGAAAAGGGAATTGAAGTTTCTGTGTCAACACCTTTTTCATTGAATTTTAGTTAGTTTTGCACAAATTTGGTATTTAAAATTTCTCGAAATTTAGTATTTAAAATGCTTGATTTGATTGTAAGTCATAGTCTGATCCCCAGCTATGTATTTAGTACAATGCTACATCGCCTAATGGTTAGCCTGTTGCTGGCGAACCTCTCCTGCGTTTCGTGATAAACTCAAAAACCCCTTTCCTTATTCGCTGTCACTGAGGGGTTGGGGGACGATGGGAGAGGGAGGGGATGGGGGACGAGAGATAGCAGTCCGAGTGGTAGCAGATGCCAGTTGCAACCAGCCGCTGGCATGGCTTTTCTCTTCTAAGATTGCAAGCTGATAGCGGGTTTGACTTCCTGACAGATGCCGGATGTTCCAAATTATCATGGAAACCAATGAATGAATCGTAGAAGAATTGGTTGTCCTGCCGGCGGAGTGAATCTACTGCGCAACAGTAGCGCTCCGCCATACCTAGGGCGCTTTTTATACTGAGTTCAGGAGCGGAAGAAAAATGATAGTTATTCATTTTTTGCATAATAAAAGATATTGCGAAAACGGTCATGAGAAAATGCCACGCGTTCGTGGAGATAATGTCGGTTTTTCTTTTTTTGGAAAAATAAAAATATATAAGTAATTTGCAGTTGTCAGTGACGAAGAGCTACTCAGGAATGTGCTGTTAGCATTGCAAGGTTCCGAAGGTCATTACTTTGTGCATCAGTCCAACTGTGAGCACCGGAAGCTATGCTTGAGCAATGCATTTCATCTGGACAATATCTACAGATCATGCTTGCTACAGCTGCTAACAATCGCAAATGCCTACTTGTTTCTTCAGTACGAATGTAAAAAACCGAAATCGGATATGCTTATTCGGGTGGGTTATTCGTTTTGATATAATCAAATCATGATTTTAATTAGTTATCTTATTGTTGATGTTAAATTATGTAATCTTAAGAAAGCAAAGTTGAAGAAGCGCTCTGTTATTTTACGTTACTTTGATTTTGAATTTGGTATGAATTTAGGTTCGAGGTCATAAGTATGATTCAAAATAAGCTGGAAATTAACAGGTTTTAGGGCTAAGTACATGTTCGCGAACATAAAGTTGTTAAGCTAGTTAAAATCCGCCTCCTATATTTCACTTTCTGAGAAAACTGATGAAATTCGAAGTCCGAATAGTTTAGAGCATCTTCGAAGCATAATAGCTTGAATTCAAATAAAAAGTCGCCTTTGGTTATTTTCCAGAAGCAAGCTTATGTGTGTCTGAACACATTGCGATGAAATATTCCCAGAGGAAATTGATTTTCCTGCTAACGGATGCACCCCTCAAATATTGCCACTGTTTGTAGGCCCACTCAGCGAGCGGCCAAGGGTTTAGCTTTCAAATTGCTGGGTTATACTGCATAACGGACCAGGCTCCAACAATCAGTTTTTTTGAAAAAATTCACCGCAATTCTGTGCGCAGTTTTTTTGAAAATTTCTTATTTCAGGCCTTTGATACTGGCTTATCGGAAGTGTTGGATCGCTACTTGGCGAAAGTGGTCAGTTTCTACACTCAGGTATTTTTTAATTTCTTTGATTGGACTAAGTTTTAACACTTAGATAGTGGTAATTGTTCTGATTTATCTCTGTGGCAAAATTAACGAAAACAGCGCTAATTTGGAAGCAAGGAATGTTACGTAAAGGTCGCTCTGAAACTCATTTTTTACTAAAAACTCTTGCTGTTATGCATCGAAGATACTGCAAAAGTTGCAAATGCCAACGACTTTTTACATTTCTGAAAAAAAAAAACCTTTATTTTTCTAAAGCGTAGTGGCTTTACCCTGTATTTTTGGGCTGAGGGCCGATGCTGCAGATCACTTATATGCTGAGCTATTTTTCGATAGTGTAAGTTAAGGTTTGGTTTTATTTCGGTAATCACACAATATTGAGCTTCCAGTTTTGCATTGTGAGAGCGTAAAACAGGTATGGGCAACTTTTGGCAACAGGCGGGCATATTTTTTTTTTTTGCGGACCGCCAATTGCCCATATGTGGCGTAAAACATGAAAGAATATAAAAAATTTAATGAAAAAAAAAGAATATAAAAAAAATAAAAATTTCTAAGTGATGAAAGAATATAAAAAATTCAACTGAAGAGCCAGAAAGGCTTTGATTTCTTTTCCTTTAATTGCCTTCTCTCTTCATTGTTTGATACAATCAGTTCTTCCAACCAGCACTGCTCTCTTTTGTTAACCATTTCGGGCCACTCCTGTTGTTTGATAGCTCAAAAATTCGATCAGTACTGCACCAGTTCACCGTAAAAGCAGTATTTATGCACCGCGTTGTTTATATATACGAAAGAAGGCGGCTGTCTGGCTGTAAATTAAGAGCTTTTTCAAGCGTCCCAGGCAGATCCAAGCAAATGCCCCTGTTATTGCTTTAATTTTATTCCAGGCAGATTCCATAACCTTTTTGGAAGTTTTATCGGCTTTATCCAGTTGGGAAAGGATGCTTTCAATGTTGCAAACTATGATCTCAGGTTTTAGAGGTCTCAAAGGAGTGCAAATTTTCAATTCCGTCTTCAAAGTTTACCGGTACTGCATTTTGTAACATTTTTAACATTAAGGTC